AGCTGCGTTGGAAGGTTAAAAATAGAACAGCGTGTGCATTTAATACCTAATAAATAAATATCTCATAATTGCTGTTGCCATCCACAAAAATCCAGATATTTATAGATGTTTCCAGTATATTCGAGAAATTAATTATAAAGCTTATAAACGCCGAGAGCAAACAACTCATCTCAGTAGTAGCTATAGTTCTAGCGAACTGTTTGTTTACTTAATGCTGTGATTGATTTGTAGCGATTTCGCTGTGAGATAGAATTAGTTTCTCTGTTTTGAATTGATTTTTGCTAAACGTTTGACATTTTGTGATATTGTTAGAATATTTTTGAAGAAATATTTCAGCATTTTGATATCTCTTGTGGAAAGAATAAATTTTTGTTAACTTTTTAACGTTAACCTTGTTTATTCCAGCCCTTTGTATTCAGTATGTCTATATCAAAACCAAGTTATAGTAAAATTAAACGAAAAATCGCTGACGAACATAGAATATTCCAAGTAAAATGGGAATTATTTTTGCTGTGAAATAAAAGATAAAATAATCTGCTTGATATGTAATAATACTATTAATGTACCAAAGTTATATAATATTAAACGTCATTACGAACAACACAAATCGAAATATAACAATTACGAAGGATTAATTAGAGAAGAAAAGTTGAAAGAGCTCAAGTTAGGAGTGAAAAAGCAACAGTCCATGTTTAGTAAAGTATTGCAAGAAAGTGAAGCGGCAGTACATGCAAGCTATGTCTTGTCCGAGTTGATAGCTAAACATTCGAAGTCTTTTATTGACGGTGATTTCATCAAAGAATGCCTAATGAAAGCTGGAGAAATTGTTTGTCCTGGAAATGTGAAGGCTTTTCAATCAATTTCATTGTCTCGAAATACAGTTGCGGAAAAAGTTACTGATTTAGCCATGAATTTAAGTGATCAGATCAAAGCAAAATCATCTAGTTTCTAAAGTTTCTCCATTGCCTGTGACGGAGCACGGACATTAGTGGCAAAGTTCAATTAGCAGTGTTTCTTCGTTCTTGTGACAAGAATTTTAACATTTTTGAGGAATTACTGGAACTAATACCGATGCCTGGTACTACCACAGGAGAAGATATATTTACTTGTGTTTTTGGACTTCTGCAGAAATACAATCTACCTTTGGCAAAATTAAATTCTGTAGCTACAGATGGCGCTCTATCAATGACCGGGAAAAACAAAGGCTTCGTAGCATTACTAAGAAAAAAATTTAGTGAAATTCACGGTTCAAACATTCATCATATGCATTGTATTATACATCAAGAAGTTCTATGCACGAAATTTTTCTTGTTCTTTTCTATATAAATATATATATATGTTTTATTCGAAATAAATCTACGTTTCTATGAATATTGATTTTTTTTTTTTTTTTTTTTTTTTTTTTTTTTCTGCCCGCCTAAAGTTAAACCTTGTTTGTTTGGCCCAAGTGTACCTATGAGTTTGACATACCTGGTGTATACAGTACTAATTATTTATTTTGTGTGTGTGTACAGTGCTGGTCATTAAAATTGCTACAGTAGGATGGGAAGTAAATAGCTTATTTATTGTACATACGCAGTACAATGGAAGGAGACATAATTAAATGAACATTCTAGTGTTCAGTGTTGTCGTTCTTCCACCATTGTAGGCTCACCTGTCTCTGTCCTGACTCAATATACATGACATGGCTGTGCAATCCCTCAAGAGGACAGTATTTGTGTCCTCTCAGGCATTAGTGACCCAAAGTTGCTGAGATCCTGCATAGCATTTGTATTGCCCTCCTAAACCCATGTTTATATGACAATCATGGGATCCTGAACAACATTAGCAGCAATGTCATGAAACGATAAACTGAAGTCCTGTTCCTATTTATACTAAGTGTGTAGATGACATTACTTGTTTTATGCTGCTTGTGCTGGAATTCTAACCATCTGCATATTCTAGCATATAGTAACTTTCACCTCCACCATTTAGTAACACTAAATAAATATCAATATTATTCTCTTATAGAATTTGTAGAAGTATATTTATTTATTATCGATAATTCATAGGAAAGTTCGCCAAAGATTTCCTGAGATAAGAATATTATTTGTGGATTCTATGTTTATTTCTATAGCATTTTCATAGAAACTAGTCTATAACTTTTTCTGCAAGGTTAAAAAGGTTGAGAAATGCTAAATTAGAATGGGTATATGTATGTACATTACATTCATGATTTTAAAGTTTGAAACACAGTTTTTGAACAAATGTTATTTACTAAAATTTCAAATTCTCCTTTAAAAATTTTTAATATTTCATAGTTATTTGTGAAAAAATGGTAAAATTTTATAATTATTTGTTACACTGGACAATTTAAATAAATTGCTGGAATATTATAAATCACTGTGTCTAACCTGTTTAGTCTATCTCACCAAATAGGAAGCTAGATAACATTTCATTCCACGAATAAAAATAATCCCTTCCCTAAAAAATATAAATAAAAGCAACTATTATTTTACTTTTTACTTCAAACATTTTTACAGCTGATACTCTGTTATATTTTAGGAAAACTAAGTCCTGTACATCTGAGTATTTCTCATTTGTATATTTCTTAAAATTATATGTACGATTTCATTACTTTAACTCTTTAAAAGAGAAGCTCTTCACAAACTCAGTGTTAGAATATCACAGTAAGCATGGTTAGAGGAGTAATGTTCTTTTATGAACAGATTTGAAAGTCAGAGAATTTCTTTTTTTCTGAACATAAAAGAAAGTGGTATCAAAATAATCGGAAATTTATTCCTGCAGTAATAAAAACTTTTGCATTACAACTACTTAATGTGTTGAATATTTTTTATTACCTATCGTATGTATTTTGGAAAAAAAAAAAAAAGCATTAGCCCAGAAGGGTTATCAGTCTCGAAAGAGCATTTTCCATCGGTTCACTATAAACAGTGTGTAACTTTTAAAATTGTTGGTACCAAATTATTTCACACTGTATTATATTTAAATAAATTACATAATAAAGAATCTGCATAAATGTATCTATGTTTCTTACATTGTGAAAAAAACGGTGCCTAGAGCCATCAAATTTTGAATAGCGTAGCCCTCCACCCGAATACAAGCATCTAGAAGCCCAAATTTGGAATTTGTTTTATCATCTATTTTATATTTTGTAAAGCATTTATGAGTTTTTGATTTAGAAACTCAATGACTTCAAAGAAAGCAATTGAAACACACTGTATGGGAGGGGGGAATCTTTCACTCCAGTGCGCAAAACTGTCTATCGGAAATTCTGAAGATATGCTATTTCTAAGTATTTTGTGATGTTGCTGCTAAATTGAATTTTGTGTGGTTTAAATGTGAAGAACATGATATTTAATATAAATAAAGGTAACCTACAAAAAACTTTAAAAAAAGCCCCCTTGGACATAATATAAAACTTTTAAATTTTTTTTATTATTATTCTGTCATCTTAACTGCATAGGTGGAAATATTATTCCTGTGTTGTTGAAGTAACTTTTCATCACAAGTGATTTTCCAGTCCAAAATTTTGCCTTTGCATTGATATTCAAGCAGATTAGTGCAGGCCCGAACAAGTCTGTCCTTATATGCTTGAGTCAGCTCATGTGGCATCCAGCGATTGAACTTGTACATAAAGTTTATATGGTGCATAGCTTGACTGATGAATGTGGCACTAATGTCTAACTCCTTAGCAAGCTCTTGAGTGGTTGCATACTGATCTTCCACAAGTTCTCGCAGGCGGGCCTCATCAAGATCAGTAGGCGGGCCTCATCAAGATCAGTAGGCTGGCCAGAGCACTCTGCTTCTTGAATATCACAGTTCTTGTTTTTGAACTTTCAGTACTAAACCTTCACAGTTTCATATGATACAGCATTAGTACTTAAAGCTATACACATGATTTGGTGACATTATGTGGCTGGCATTTTGCAACAGAACTCGACATAAATGATGGTTCTAATCTGTTAGCATGATACTTCTGTTTCAGACAACTTGTACTTAATGAAAACGATATTTTTCTTACAAATTTCGCAGCAAAGTGTTCTACAACAAGTCTCTTTCAAATGGCAAAAGTCGTTTGGCAAAATATGATTAAATATGCCAACATGAACTGTTTTCGCAGATGATATTTGCGGTAGCGGGAAACTTTCATTAAAACCCAACATTATAAATCCTATTTGTTATGTCACACATACACACACTCATACAAAATAGTGGCACTGCTTGTTTTTGTCGATAATTAGTTTGATCTGATCTCAATGCAAACAGGTGTTAATTTATCTTTCTTTGTTAATGTTTTATTTACTGATTTACAGCTTTACATATATTTGCAGTAAATTTTACCTTCTTTTCATGCTTCCATTTATTTGGCAATGCATACTTATTATTATTATTATTATTCCTGCATTCTTACATGTATTACAACTAAATATGCACATGCTTATATTATAACATATGTAAACTTATAGGTATGATATATGGACAGATGGTGAAAACATATACACATAGGTATTTCATGTATATTTTATAAAAGTTTAAACTCTTTGATTGATTTGAAAATTTAAGATAACTGTGCATTTGAAAAAAATTTAACAAGAACATATTGTGCCAAGGAAGCACAATTTCTGCTTAACAATCCTGAACTGTTGTCAAAAAAAGATAAAGTTGTTTGAAAAGTCATCTTTAATCTAAGCATAAGAAAGCACAAAAGAAGTATAACAATGTGTTTGACATGTGTCTATAGAAAGCAATATGTTTGGCATACAAAGCATTTGGCAAAATTTCACTGTACCCTACATCACACTTTGGGAGTAGGGTAGAAACCAGGCCATTGCAATCTTAGCCTTTTAGGCATTTCATTGATAGGCCATTTATATTGTGATAAGGTGATATATAAATAGCAAAAATTAACATAAATTATATTTTATTTGTATTAAATATTCTGTTTGCTCTCTTTATATAAATTATTTTGTCATATAATTGATCAAAATCTCTTTCAGAATCAAAGTGACCAGCTTTATTAACTTGTGATGGTACACCAGCTTCATTAACTTGTGATGGTTGATTTTTCTTTGGCATTAATTTAAGATTTATAATTTCAGTCCATTTGAAAAACAAATTTGTCAATTTTTGGTCATACCAGCCAAAGTATGGCAAAATAACATAATTTGCTGTTATGTATCTTCGGTTTAAAATTACCTCTTACTTATGCATCTGCTGAAATTTTTTTGAACATTTCCAAACCTTCCTTCCTGCAGAATACAGTTATTGAAAAATTCAAAACCAGAAGCATTCTTTCTTAATTTTCCCCAGCCTTTCCCTAGCTTATACATATGCATTTCTGTGTAAGAAAAACATTTTCTTACATAGAAATGCATACGTATAAGCTAGGGAAAGGCTGTTAACTGTTCTTATATCATTCTTTTGTTCGTCTTCTGTTGTGCATGATTACTTCTGCATGTTTCTTTATAGTTTTGACTGAGAATTTTTCTTAAAATCAAAGAAATGAAATCATTTATTATTTAATGAAATAGAGAATGGTTTCATTTTCATTGTTTCTTGTTCAGTTTGGTAATGAATAAGTAAACCAAATTATTGATTTCATTCAAAATAGAAGCAATTAAAATATCTGAAGAATTGCCAAGCACATTTAAGAACGTTTTAGCAGAAACATATGAAATTTGTGCAATAAATGAAAGTAAAAGGAATTTTGATGAAGGAAGGCATTATTATGATGTCACATTGTGATTGCTGAATTCATTGTAAAATATGAAGCAGAATACAAAGCAGTGCCACTATTATGAGCAGGCGGGCAACAGAGATTTGTGTGGTAAATTTCTCCAGGTGTAACATGAGTTAGTTTCTCTTAGAATGTCTTCCATAAAGGTATCTTTCTTTAGGTAAATGCTCTCACATGCTTTGCTGTAATCAATTAATCAAAATCTGTTGAACTAGTAGGAGCTTTAATGCAATGGTTTCAAATATAGATATATATATATATATTGCCTTTAATGAGCCTGATAGCTGTTAAATACTGAGGAAAAAAAGACTGTGCTTTGATGGATTCTGAACAGATGGTTCTGTTCACAAGATGGTTGAATTTATTTCACTAAATATGAAAAGGTTATTCTCAAAGAAAAACAGAGGTAGGTGCAATCTTCAGTTTTACGCTGTTATAAAAATCTGTAAACATAAATAAAATATGTAATTAAAATAATTAGTTGTTTAAGTTTTCTAATTGTTAGATTTAATTTAATAAATCCGTTTATTGATATGTTTCTTACTCTGCATGTATTCTCTCATCATTACAAATATAATTTTGGTCTGAATAATTTGAAGTTTAAACTTATCCATACCTGATGTACGTGTCATTTTTGGTTAGTCCCTTCTACTGGTGTATAAGTGAAAGATTATATGTTACTTATTATTTACGGTGCTGTATGGCTCTCAGTGCAATAAATTATAGGGTTTTGTAGTTTTCTGGTTAAAAAAGTATGGATTGTTTATATTTAAATTTTTAATTAAAAGTAGTTATCTTTCTTATGATTTGAAAGAAGAATGACAAAAATATTTATATTCCTGAATAGAAATTTTGGAAGTTTAAAGTGGTGTTTATATGTGTAACACTTTGAAATTCCTTCAATTTCTAGTATAGTTTGTGTAGTTTAATTGTATAAATTTTTTAAAATATTTCTTGGAAATGCATTTGAATAGTTCAGAACATGATTTATTTTAATGATATTTCTATAAATTTATAGTAATTAACAATTAAATAATTTGAAGGTAATAATTGTTAAATAAAAAATTTTGCATTTGGAAAATGTTAACATTTGCATTTATGGTAATTTGTCACATTTTAGACTGAGTGAAATTATCACATTTAAAGTGAATTAAAAAGTTAATAATAGTGGATATAAAATGACAGGCAGCTGAGAATGTTCTTTAATAGCATTGAATGTGTTGAAATTGTTATTATTTTAATAGCACTTAATAATACTAAATGTCCATTAATAGTACCAGCATTTGTCGCTAGATTGCCGTCACCAAATGGCAGTATTTAGTGCTGCCATCTATAAGCAGATACTGTAACCAAATAATATCTGTGGTGCTGCCATCTGGTGATAGATAATGGTAACAAATAATCAGCATCGAAATGAGTTGTGAATTTTTGTGCTTATGGTATAAAATATTATTTGTTTGAAATCTATGGTGTAGAGTTTGTAAAAGTTAAGAAAAAAAGATAGCATTTAATCAATTTTCTTCTTGGTTCTGTCACGTGTTATTGACCGGAATTACCTCAGATAAAATTTTAGGAAAGTTCAATGAAAAGTTTTCTTTGATTTTATTCAAAACATCCAAGTTGTAAAGGAGGAATACAGTAATGAAAAAGGAATAATAAAACAAATGATGAAAACAACTTTTTATTAGTATCTTTTTAACATAGTTTTTACATATCTAACAATAAATGCGTTGAAATTATCATTATTTTAAGCCATTTTTTCAGAAGTATGATATTTATTGCTATGATTTCAGTGTTGAATTAATTTTCTTAAATTGTTTCTTATGCAAATTCTTCCTTTAACAGGTTAGTTATGCTCGTGAAGAAGATGATTACATTCAAAATGATGGACAGGAATATTATGACGAAGGAGATACTGACGAAAATAGTTAATCTTGTGTATTTTTTAGTTGTAGGTTTAAAAATATAATTTATTTCAAAGTAATACGATGTCATTTTGTAGTTAGAACAAAATAAATGTTTGTATAAAAAATTATCGGAATTTCATTGATTAATTTGTCTTTCATGTCCCCCCCCCAAGTACTCAGAAGATAAATGTATTATGTAATTTTTCATTCTGAAGAAATGAAAACTATCTTTTTTTTTAATTGATTTAAATTCTTTTAATAAAAGGTAAATTATTTTCCAGCTTCTCATATAAACGGGTCTTTGTTTCATTCATTTTGCACTCTTTTTAATACTTTGGATACTGTTCCTTATTCAATTTTTGTGTCTTGGCATCATCCTGTTGTTACTGATCTTTAATGCTCGTTTAACTGTAAACAGCATGTTTCCTGTTATACACTCAATGGAACATTTTGTACCAACCATAGAATGCTGTCCTGTCATTTGTTGATAACAGCAGGATACCCTATATATTCAATAATTATAATATACCATAAAATAATGTTTGGCTTTTATAATATACTAAAACAAAATATTTTCAATTTTCCATATTCTTTACAATGTACCACTGTATAACCTCATATAATTTATAATTATAAGCTTCACATGGTAATGAGCAAAAAATGATGAATCCCACTGATTAAGAAGCACAAAATGCCTACAAACCTGAATAATCATCCTCTTTTATTTTGCCGCTCATTGTTTAACTTGAGAACTAGTTCAGATTAGTAAATAAATGTATTCAAGTTCTCATATAATAGTAAAATAATGTTGTTATTAGATTTATTTTAGCTGCTAAATAAATTGATGCCAAATGATGTTGTCTTACCTGCATGCCACTTTATTTGATGCATATTTTTTTCTCATTTACTCAAGATACTATTTGATAAATAGGAAGAAAAACGTTTATGGAGGATTTTCTAACCGAAATTAGCCCACATTTATATTACAAGGCGAACTCTAGGAAAACCAACGAAATTTGCTACAGCCCATAACACCCCCCCCATCTCGTTAGGTTGCATTTCCAACCCTGTGTTGCTATGATATTCCGAGTCATCTAAGTATACCTTACTGCTCCTAGAAGTTTGTACCTCTAGTTTTGAATCACCCTACCTTGTTTGTACCTCTAGTTTTGATTGGTTTGTTTCCCTTGACTAGTCAATCTATGGTCAATAACAAAGCATACCTTTTCAGTACCCTTTTAGTAAATTTTACTTTTTAATTTTACTATTTAGAATTTTTCTGGTTTGAAATAATATTTCTATGCAGCTTATTAAAATATTTGTACTACAATAGAAATCTAAATAACTTATCCTTAAAATACTAACTCAGATTTATTCCAATAATTCGTCGCATTAATTAAATTTATGTTCCTTGGAGATGATATATATAAAAAAACTTTTCTAATAATAAATTATATATATATATATGCATGTATGTATGTATACATGAACACACACACATATATTTAGCCAAAGGAAAAAATTGTTTAAAAACCGATTTTACCCTAACCTTAAATGTAACTTTTTTTTTTAAATAAAAGCCTTAATTGCATAGTCAGGGCCACCTGTAGAAATTACATAGCTCTGTGCAAAGTCATATTTTGCCACCTCTTTCTAATTAACTGTTCATTAATAGTTTAGGTTAGTTTTATCTCCCTAAAGAAATGCATGTGTCATACATTGACAAACTGGTTTTGTGCATACTTGCTGTTCGCAATATGACAGCTCAATAAATGTTAACAGTCATTTTATGTTTGGTAAAATCCAAAAGCTTCATCTGTTTTGATTAGACAGACGACTGAAAAGGGTAATAGCGTCTGTTTTGGACAATATCAGTAAGTGGTGTGTGAAATTCAGGAATGAAGGCCATCTTTGCACAGCCAATTGGTCAAGATTGTGACTTTCTTCTTGCCGATTCAAGCTTCTTGTTTTAATTTGTTGGATCTCAATCCTGTACCTCTCTAGTTAACTGTGAAATTTATGCTAATGTAAAAAATTTATCACTAAGCTGGCTTGAACTTTTGTAAAAATATGTATAAAATTAATTATTTTTATATTATAATGAATTTTATTTCACTACATTTATTGATTTCGTTTACATAATTTATTTGTTATGAATATTTTTAAATGTTTCGAGGAATTATGAAAATGTGTAGCTAATACGGACTACATCCCGCAAATTTCATTTCTAAGTGCGGTCTGATGCATGAAATGGTTTCTTCAGTCTGTATTTCCTCTTCTTTTATCGAACTCTGACCCTCCTGGGTGCTCTGCGATGATGAATAGATGGAAATGGCGGGTTCCAGAGAGTACGGCTGATTAATTAAATGGCGGAAGCGGGGATGAGAGTGCTCTTCTTGCTGTTATTTTGTTTCATTCGCGTAATGGTCGTCAGCGAACAGCTGTTATCTCTGAGTCATTCATGTTGTTGCCAGGTTTTATTTTTGCAACCCTGCACGTTCGGACAAGATCTTAGTTTCATGAAGAACTAAAAATTGCTTGCGCTGTGTTGGCATTAATCTTGTGTACTCAAATTATTTTTCTTTATCTGGCCGGAAGGAAATGTGTAATATGTGTGTTGGCATATGAATCGATTTTGTTTTAATGATTTTTGAGATGTTACTGACTGTTTTTATTTCGATCATTTCAATTTCGAGAACGAAATCAAGTATAAGGCCGAAAACAAACTGTTGCCAAGGCACGTGTCAGGAGGTTTTTTATTTACCTTCTAAGTTGTGACATTGCATGTCAGTTAAAGTAACCGACCTCGTTCGAAGGGCTTTTTTCGAAATGTCTGTTATATTTCTAAATTTTTGAGATTTTTTGTTGGATTGCACTGACACTTAAATATAATCACTAGAAAAGTGGTAAAAAATTCATTATTTTGTAAATTTATGCAAAGACCGAAAATTTTACATCGAAAGTAACAAAAACTTCAACTATCACTGATAAGAAAATAATGAAAATAAAAGCATATGAAAGACTTAACCATGAGCATAAAGTGAAGTAGAATAATTAGAAAATGTTGATTCACTAGCAATGTATGGCTATATGTTAATCAACACACAAAATTTGTTTTAAAAAATGCAATCACTATTGAAGAAAAAATTGCATAATTTAAATTCTGTGAGGCCAATTTTTTTTACTCTTAGTCTACATCATGCATAATAACATGCAAACTCTGTGGACAAAATTTCAAGTGATTCTGTAAGAAACTTTTAGAGTTATCATGGTGGTTGTGAACATAAATCATAAGAAAAAGTTATCAAAAATCGCATTTAAAGTTCTCAGATTAACATTACATGGCATATATGCGTAACCATTCACGTTGCCTAACGAAAATAAGAAAATTAGTAATAAAAATATATTGCTAGATTTTCCAGACTAATTGATATGCTTAAAATTATTTAGTTAACAAATAACATAAAAATGGGCGAAAACTGCATTTTTAACTTGCCCTATAAATTTTCACTTCCGCTTTGGTAAATAATTTCCGAATTTTCGTCTCTCAGAAACGCTGGTGTACTTCACTTCTAATAAATATATCAAGAAAAGAAAAGTTGTTTTTGATAGCTGAGAATTTGATATTTAAAAATGTAAAATTTAAAAAAAAAAAAAAAAAAAGATATTTTTAAACCAAAATCGGCCTTTTAAACGAGGTCAGTTACCTTAAAAAAAAAGTAATTCCTTAAAAGCATTCTGCACTTCTGAATAATATTTTATAGTAACTTTTATTAATATTTATTAAAGAATGAAATGAAAAATTCTGATAATTAAGAAGTAACATCTAGTGCTTTTAAATCGCTTAGGTTATAAGGTATTTCTTCCGCCTTTTTCGCATGCCTTCGTGGTGTGGTGGTCTGCACACTAGACGCGTATTTCCAGAGGTCCGCGGCTCGATTCCCGGCGAAGGCGTTGCATATTATTCATCTTTCCTGCTTCCAAAATATCTAATGTCTCTACAAGGTCGTTAACTAATCTGGGGTTTTAGTTTGAAATATCAATTAAAAACCGCTACAGGTTACAAAGCCCAGGCTTATTGCCCTTTATTTTAAGGAGCCTCAGACAGGGTCGTCCCTAGCGGGGTGCAGCACAAGTACACGGGCGGCGAAAGTCAGGGGCGGCCGGACTCTCGCGTTATCTCGTCTAATATTTTTAATTCATTGTAAGTACTTGTCATGTACTATAAGTATTTTTATACAGTTTGTCATATATAAGTAATCGACTATGAAATAAAAATTTTATTAATTATGAGCACTTTTTTTTAATTTGGGGGGGGGGCCAATGGCTTAGGAACGGCCCTGGCCTCATATCTTCTTAACGAAACATAAAAAATTGTCATTGGTGGCTCCTTGAAAGAATACTCTGCCTAGAACTGCAGATTGTGTTGACATGAATAGTTGAAGATTGACAATATGCCGAACCGCATAAGAGATAAACGCATTTGTAGCTTAACGTAATGTGAAAAATTGATATATTAAACCAAACTTTGTATACATATATATGTGTGTGTGTAATACGAAACTTTGTATACATATATGTGTGTGTGTGTAATACGAAACTTTGTATACATATATATGTGTGTGTGTGTAATACGATGACTTTTTGGTGGGGAAAAAAGTTGCAATGGATTGACGATGGTTCTCTGCATTATAACTTGAAGAGGCTTTACTGCATAGTTAGAAAGATGATACTCGAAGACAGACATGTAATAGAAACAAACTTAGAAGTAATAAACAGCAGGAATTTTGATGGCGTAGAAATGTTGATCCATAATGAATAGGAGACTGGCAGCCGAGATACATTAAATCTTCATTTTATTTTCAGTAAACATATTGCGGCCACAATTAACTTGGCACATTATTTGTGCCTATTCAAGAGGTTTACATTTTTGATAACTTTGCAACAGACAGCAATCCAGCTAGGCTGAGAAGAGTATCGAGCAAGTGTTATGTAACGGTCATATGATTTGGGGAAGACCTCGAATCTGGGAGAAAAGATGATCTTAGGGGTAGAGAACATCAAATTTAGAATAGTAAATTTTGAGGTTGCCAATTATTTCTTAACGTAACCATCGTATTTTGTTA